CAAGAGAAATGTGCTGGAATTGGTTGGAGCAGAACTCTGCAGGACAGGGGCCTTCCAGGGGCAAGATTGGACACCTCGAATCTGTAGGGGTATTCTACAAATACATAGATTATCACATCTTGTAAAAAGATTCTCAACAGGACCACATAATGGAGGTAACAAATGTAAAGTAACAGATTTTAGGATACTATTTTTGTTTGTTTAGTTTAGGTTAGTTTCAGTTTAACATTGTTATCCCCTAATTTCATAGTCAACTGAAAATGCATATACATGCTTCAATTATATCTTTTCGGCTTAGTCCCTTTATTAATCTGGGGTCGCCACAGCAGAATGAACCACTAACTTATCCAGCATATGTTTTTACGCAGCAGATGCCCTTCCAGCCGCAACCCATCTCTGGGAAACATCCATACACACTCATTCACACTTATACACTTCAGACAATTTAGCCTACCCAATTCACCTGTACCACATGTCTTTGGACTGTGGGGGCAAATGGAGGAGAGAACATGCAAACTCCACACAAAAACAACTGACCCAGCCGAGGCCCGAATCAGCGACCTACTTGCTGTGAGGCGACAACATTACCTACTGCGCCACTGCGTCGCCCAAAATGCACACCTGCAATGTGTAAAATACTTTTTAAAATACTTTATTAATAGGATTTTTAAAATAAATATGCACAAAACAGAAAAACAAGCAAAAACAAACAAACAAAAAAAACAAATATACAAACAAACATCCCCAAAACTAATTTATTTTTTGTAGCTTTAGCAGACGAGACACATAGCTAATAGTCTGCAATCATTAAACTCCTCAAGCGTCACACAAATGCACAGCAAGTGTACGTATAGGGTGCATAAACAACTTCAATACAGTCATGACAAATAAATAAATAAAAAAATAAATGTAAAAAAGGAAAATGCAAAAAGATGTATGACACACTAATAAACCATTCAGTGTTTAATAGAAGGAAGATTCGGTATATCTTTATAACAAGCAAGCCCATTGTGAAAGGCATTACAAGGTTACAGTGAGATGGAAGAGGAATGATTAAAAAAATAATTAAAATAAAATGAAATTAAAAGACATTTTATTTTTTGTATTAAAACTGCTTCATTACTTTAATTTTAAAAAGGCCTAATCCTAACTTAATATAAAACCTGTTTGTGAACCAACCTATGGGACTTAGTCTTGCATAGTAGGGATGTTGAGAATTGTCAACATTTTGCTTCACAAAATCACTTACATCCCTATTGCCTTTTTATTTCAGCGATCAATTTGTTAAAGCTAATAAAAATGTATTATAAGCTTATGATTATATATTTTTAACTTGCTAATATTTTCAGACAGTGGTACACCTGCTTTTTCTATTTATTAATCCACTGTACGTTTTGTGTTCGTGCTTCTGTAAGGTGTTTACATCCGTGGTCTTTTTTTGGATGGTGCCCGATGGGATCGAAGAACCAAACGCTTGGCAGAGTCATTTCCCAAAATCCTGCACGACACCATGCCTGTGGTGAGAAGCTGTAAAATATATAATCTCTTTCAAATGAGGATGATGACATCATGCGTATCATCTGTGGATACATTTTACACACAGAGATCACAAATCACAAGAAAGTCATTCCATGAATGATCAGTAGTGTGAAAATGTATTAAACTTGGAAATAATCGTTTCAGTGCAATTCAAAAGTTTCAGTGCAATTCAAAAAAAGATATTTGGCTAGCAGGCAAACTTTACCAGTAACTATAGAAACAGAAAGCAATTTTGATAGAATAGACTTTTTCCTCCCGTTTTACAGCGCAGAATTAAAAAAAAGTGAACCAGTGGATGATAATACATTAAAATGACACAGTGACGATTGAGTTGTGTCTGCTCAGGTTCTTCACTTTAGATGTGATGACTTTTCATAACACCATATAAATTAAGCATGTTATCTTAGGGCCTCTTGAAAAACATTTGAAAACTGTATTAGTAAAATCATTTTGTACTTAAATACATGGTGGAATGGGAGTTCTAAATATGTCGATAGCAGGTCAGAAATTCAAATGGTTAGTAAACATTCTTAAGAGAACATGAAAAGGAAACAAAGATTATTGTTAATTTGGCTTTTTTATATTCTGCACAATGCACTTTGGCACAATAAATAATGCATTCCCTGCTGTTTAATATTCAGACATTTCAGGACGACTCATTACCAAAATAAGTTTCTGACAGCTAAACTTAATTAAACATGCGTTTGCTACACGGTAAAACTTTGAAATGCAAATTTCTATTGAAGGCCATTCATTTCAGCTCAAAGCATTTCATCAAACTCTGAAAACACACACCCATAACGCATATTAAACACGCTAACTGTTAATGTACCTTTTACTTTGTGAAGTATATTAGGGCTGTGTACAAAATTGCCTACGATTTAGTTGGTACTGCATTTGAATTTAAATGTACTACTCGGCCGTTAGAAGAGTAGGTCTATACAGTGTGAATGTGAGCGGTATGAATGGAACTCGGTCGTACTACATCCACCATTTTGTCATGATCACGTGACCTACCCACGTCAGCTGCGTTGATTCACTACCATTCATGAATTCTCTCGCGGGGCAACAGGGGATAGATAGCATACCATCCATCTGATGCACACATATCGCTGGAAGTAGTTGGTCATCCGGGTACTTCTCGCATACTGATTTTCGAATTCGATGAATTCGGACATACAGTATTACTTGGCTCGCATACTGATTTTAGCTTACTATATAGTATGGAAGTATGATTTTTTGAACGCAGCCTAAGAGTTTTTTGCCAAATGGTTTCGAGGGTTTAAATTTATTTTTGGTGAAATCCTTCTCCTTTTTACTGCTACTCAATATAGCAAGTTAAGCAGTCTGACGTTATTTATAAATACTAATACCAATGTTAATAATTGTCAGTATCTGCTATATTAAGGGGCACTTTAATATATTAAACTATTAAAGGGCACTCTGATGAAAATCATCTTTTGGGAAGCTGTTTGAACAGAACTGTGTTTAGATAAGGAGCTCTATTTTGACGATCCATGCGCAAAAGTCTTGTTTTGATAAAACAAATATAAATATGCATATAATAAATAATACTGCTAAGAATAATAACATTATACAAAAGCAAATTGTTATGAATAAACTGAAAAGGCCCCCCGGGATGAAGAAGGCATTAAAGAATGTTTTTTTTATAATTATGTAGGCTAGAAAATAATAATTTTTGTAATATTTTAATCCTTTAATTCTTTTTCATATGTAAAGATATTTGTGTATTGCTGTACATCCTGTGTGTATTAAGCAATGTGTTAGTGAGGCACACAACTAACGCGCTCTGCGCTGGACTATAGACCTTCTTTCATCTGGTCTATTAAGTGGTCTATATTAGTTCCTCAAAATAGTAGCGCGCCAGCAATGCACCTCAACACACCTCCTTTTTTAAACCAGAACGCTTATGGGCGAACATATTAGCACAAATGCATTTGCTATTTAAACAGCGTGGTGCAAAACCTCAAACAGCTCCAGCCGTGTATTAACATGTCTCTGTAGTAATGCATATAATCATGATAACAAGACAGGACATGCACAAAACAACTAGGATTATAAGATCTGTTCAGCTCTCTGTGATCATCAATCATCATCGAATGTGAATAAGAATGAGTTTTACAAGTTTAACACGTTTTTTTAAACAGTGCATGTTTGTAATGAATTGCAGAGCTGAAAATTTCACTATTCTAAAAGGTATAATAAACATTCTGATGGGTGTTTTGAGCTAAACTATATAGACACATTCTGAAGACACAAAAGACTTATCCTAAGTCTTGAAAAGGGGCAAAATAGGTGCCCTTAAATAGTTTTTTTTAACAATATTGCACCCAAGTAGCATCCCGCTGGGCCCTAGTTCCTGCTGCAAGAGAAATTTATAATACATTTCTATTAATTTTAATAATTTAAAGTGCTGTTTAACTAAAAAAAGTTAGAATCTACTGGAGTCATTAAATCATGTCTAATTTTCATTCATAGTGAGAAGTGAACACTTAAGGGGAATAAAGATCTCTCTAAAGTAACCTACAAACTAACACTTCTCACAAACTCAGAAACATCATCAGCTCAGCCAAAAGGAGCTTGAAAATACTGGCAAAAATACAATATTGTGCATCCCGATTATATTTAACAAGGTTCAAATAAGGGGGAAAAAAGTCCTTTTTATTTTTTAAGTGTAGTTATTGCAAGCCCATTTTGTGTATTTTCTAGAAGAAGCACTCATTGGAATGATTAAAAGAATCTATATTGGGAAATAACTCATACCGTGAAATAAAACAAATCATAGCGTGAAATAGAATTTTGGTCACACCGCCCACCTCTATGCGTTTTAGTGACATGGTGAATCTTTTTTTAAATAATTACATTTCTGATAAAAAAGAAATAATCAGCAACATCCCATAACTCTGAACTTTTTAAATTGTATAAGAGCAAAAAATCAGCTTCTCAACTATGCATCTTGATGTCTGTCTGCAGATATGGCTGAAGCCCATGAAGAAGCAGGACATTCCAGAGCGCCAGTGCTACATTTCTCCAGTTTACAAGACCAGTGAGAGACGCGGAACCCTCTCTACTACCGGACACTCCACAAACTACGTCATCTCAATGGCGCTGAATTCAGACGTGCCTCCAGAGCACTGGATCCGTCGTGGAGTGGCATTACTGTGTCAGCTGAACTCATAGATTCACTGCTCGGCTTCTAGTGTGCTTCACATCAGTAAAGGTTCTGTGAGTAAACAATGCTTATGTAGAAAAAGCCTCAGATATGATTCAGTGAAGGTTTCTGTTTAAAGACAAAAACTCAATTTCACAAGTGTCAAAATGTTTATTAATATCAGTAGCAATGATAAATTTATATAAAAAATATAGGTTTTTATCTAAAAAGTATTTCTATAGAGTAGAACATTTTAAGTCATTTTTAATAAGCGGAGACTCACAAGGTAGGCTTTGCAAACTTTATTTTCCACTTCTGACAAAGAAATGCACAGACAATCAGCAAGAATGACAAATGTACTGAAAATGCTTCAACATCCAAATGGGTTGGGAAAAAATCTGCCAAAATTGACAATACAATGCAAGTAAATAACTGGATGGTCCTTTTCTTGAAATACACTGTAAAGCCTGATGAAAACTGGCGTCACTTTTTTATTGAGGTCATTTTTGCACCATGTAACCAAGGTATTTCATTTTGAGCTTTGGAGCTCTTGTTCCTCAAATACAGTTTAACAACTTCGTTTCACAAACACATATTAAGGAGAAAACCTAATTAGACTGTGATTACGTTTGCTCACATGACCTTCAAAATCATTGGTTTTACATTCAAGCTGTAAAAATTAAGTACTTCAGGGTAAGAGGAAAATCAACAGTACGTGTTGTCAACTCTTCATTTCATAACAGAAATGAGACATTTTGTTCTTCCACTTGTCTCATGCACGTTTCCATCCAATCAAATACATTTGATGAATGTAATTAATAAGACACACGCCCACAAGAAAAAAAATAAATGGATGTCACATGGTGACAGGATAAGCATGAATCACATAACATGCTCCACCAACTCATGACGGCAGAGGATTCAAGCAGCGAACACAGCAAGTGGAATGTATAGAGGCGACTGCAGGCAATGGCAGTTCAGTTCAGAAACAGCCCATATTTGGCACAACCAAAATGATGCACGCTCGCATCAACAGGGGGACAATTTAACAGATCTTCTAGACATTTGATTGCATTCATACTTTCATACAGGTGCACGGAAGGCCAATAATTACAGCCTGAAATCATTTCAATAATGCAAGGGTGTCAAAAATGAATATTTAAGATTGTCAAAAAGAACATTTCATAATGGCGAACAGTTTTAAGTTATAAAAATGTATTGGTTCTCCCAAACTTTGTATGGAAAATAAGTTTTTAGATGGTCAGTTTATAAAAGGTGCTGATGTCTCACAAAATAATGTATTTAGAATTTAGCAAAGAAAACTCCAGCAATATCAAACATGTTTTATAATTAAAATAAAAATAATAAGTAACAAAGGCGTTTCAAAATACTAGCATGTTTAAAAAAAAAATAAACGTTTTCAGTAGCAAATTTCCTTTGGGGAACATAATTATCTCATGATGGAACAGTAACGAGATCACTATTTATCACAACACAACTTGGATATGAATCAACTTTTTAGATTCGGAAAGTAGTCTAAATCATGATCATTTCTATTTTATCAATGAACAAATAGACTTCCCAAAGAAAAACTGATGTATTCTTTGATATACAGATATGTTAGTTGTTTTTCATTTAAGAAAAAAAAGAATAAATCACAGTGCTTTCGCATTAGCTTTAATACTGGACTTGTTCAGTCTCTGTTCTCCTGACCTCCTGTATGTGATCGGCTTTTTGGCAGCACTGTGTCAGAAGTTAGTCAAAACACAGTCGCATACCTTCAAATATGCAAAGCTGGCCAAAACGCTACAATCTTAGCCAATAATAACAGAAAATAAAAACAAACAAAATTCTAAGACTGAGGACTCTCCCATCACTATGAACAGTAAATATAGTGTTCGAAGCAAGCAAGTCAATACTACCAACAAAGTGTAAACCAGTAAAAAAAGAGCTCATTAAAGGGACAGCTCATCCAAGGCTAAAAATTTAAGCAAACCTTTCTTTTTCTGTTGAACACAAAAGAAGATACTCTGAAGAAAGCTGTAACCATTGACTTGCGTAATATTTGTATTCCTAACATGAAAGTCAATGGTTTCAGGTTTTCAGATTTCTTCAGAATATCGTCTTTAGTGTTCAACAGAAACTCATAAAACTTTAGAACAAATAAAGGGAGAGTAAATTAGTATTTTTGAGTGAACCATCCCTTTATACAGCATCAAAAGTATGTGTTGTTTCTCAGAATGGTGGCACACAACCAGTACTGACCAGTACTTCTCAATAATTTACAAACAACAAAAAGTCAGCAAAGTTGTTGCCAGTTGGACTTTGTTGCACCATTTTTGCGCCCGACAAGTTGATGGTGTGACACACTAGACATACACAGCACAACACCAGTTACGAATGAACAAACTATGAGTTACAATCTGAAACAGCAAACACAACATGATGAGTGACTGATGAATAGCTGCTTCTCTCTAGGACACCGTCCTAAAAAATAAAACAAAAAAACAACTATAATATATTAAAGGGATAACCCAAAAAACTGGGGAGTGCTTCTTGTGTGCTGTGGATTGCCTTGTTGGACACGTATTCTCAAAATAACAAAACAGGAAATGCGAGAGCGCTCAAGCAACCGTTTTGAGTGGCCTAGAGAGGAAGAGACGAGAGATGATAAAATGTAAACATGTTTGTTTGCATGTCCGCTGTAAGCTACTGATGCTGTCTTTTAAGACATGCCTGCGAGACTGTACCGTCACAAAACAAAGCCACTTTAAGGCAAAGCACGTGTGTGAATGTAGCCGATGAATGATGGTCCCCCAAAGACCTCGGCCTCCAGCTAGAAGCCAAAATCGAGCACAATGTGATCCTCGAAGATGGCGATGAGCAGCATGATGCCGAACCCGGTGAGCATGCCAAAGTTTTGCAGGACAAAGTGGCCCATTTCACAGCGCTTGTGCTCCTCACTGTCACCGTGAAGCATTTCTGGCAACTGAAGATGAAGAAGAGCAGTTCAATATTAATAGCAGTTTACATTATGCTATAATAAATTACACAAATTACCATCATTTACATTCATGCATTTGGCAAAATGATCAATCCTCAGTGACTAACTGTATTGGTTGTGCAGTTAATAAAAATTCAATTTCGATTTTGTCCTCCAACGGTTATGAAAAAACGTTAATTGAGATAAAACGATTAACGTGTCATATCTTCCCCCTTTTGAAAGCAGTCCACAATTGTTCCTCTGCAAGGCTCAATTTCACTTAGAAATCATTAGCTATGTTATGCATTTTAGATATGCGCATAAAAAAATGGTTGATGGAAATGCCAAGATGAGCATTAATTTTGAAAATGCACATAAAATGTGCATAACAGAGTAGAATAAACTTTTTATTCAATAAAATAATGCACATAAACTACGATAGAAATACTTTTACTGAAAAAATTCCAGAATGCGCATTTAAAAAGGTCAAGTGATTTTGTTTATCATGTGATGATAAAAATGTGTGTGAATGAACAAACCAGCAGGTTGAGCACATTGTAAAGCATCTGAAATGCGTTTTGGTCATTCGAAAATGCTTAACAATTTGAGTATTAGTGTTATTATAATATTAATGACCTCCAGAACTGTCAAGAGTTTCTGTGCTCTGCGTCTCATGCCTTAAAAAGCCACCACATGTTCATTGTGCATCGGCATACAGTCTTTTGAGGCGTAAGTCATTTATTAAATAAACAAAACAATGACGCTGCTTCTACTGCAGCAAATTCAGTTTTTACTGTTGATATTTGGCACCAGTTTATTAGGAAGTGACCATTTTTGACTACTTGGATGGAAACGCTGCTTTATTTGTACGAATTTTATGTGATATTTCAGTTTTGAGGATAAATTTAATTTGCATTTTTGATGGAAAATCATGTAACGTAACTTTTGCAGCACGAGACATGCTTGATTTATTAATGTGTATTCAATTAATTTATGTTTTTAAAAGCACGGAAAAGAGATTGTGTTGTTCTGTGCCTGTGTTTAGCCTACACATGTAAAGCCATCATTTAACTCAAGCTTTAATCCTCAAGTACATGCAAAACTATGGCGCTTAGTGATTCAGAATGAAAAGGCATGTGTAACCATAAATCAGAACTGTATGTCTATTAAAATGACTGCGTTATCAGTGTGTACGCAGGGTCTTAAAGTATTAAAAGTTGATAAATCAATTATGATAAAATGGAGACCCTTAAATGTTATAAAAAATTTCTTAATTGCAGTTTTACAAGGTCTTAAATTTTGTTCAAGAGTTGTCTAAAGTATTTGAAAAATAAACAAAAAAAAGCATAAACAAATTTATTTTCCTCCTTATTTTACCAATGGAGTGATTGGTTCGGGCCGGGGTGTGTCCAGCCAAGCTTTTTTATCCAGGGGATGTCACATAATTTGCGACGAATGCGGGAAGGTGATGTGATGCTCAGACAGACAGCAAAATGGGAAAACCTAAGTTTTGGGAAAGACGAGTTTAAACAGGGGCTGAAGCCTGTCGCTGAAAACAACCATGTAACTTATTATTTTAAGCTTTGTTTTTTCTAAGCTTATCTAAGTTCTGTTGCAGGGTGCAGGGTTGTGCTCCATTGATTTATTTAACTACAACTGTTTTATTAAGTTAAAGGTTTGATACTGATTGGAATTTGAAGTGGCAATGTGATCTTGAGATATTCTGTGAAGGTATTTATTCATTTATTCATTTTCTTGTCGACTTAGTCCCTTTATTAATCCGGGGTGGGCACAGCGGAATGAATCGCCAACTTATCCAGAAAGTTTTTACGCAGCGGATGCCCTTCCAGCCGCAACCCATCTCTGGGAAAAGAAGGTATTTAGAAAGTTTTTAAAAGGTATTGAATTTACCTTTAGGATTCCTTCATATGCCCTGACCATATTCTTGTTGCTGACTGTGTATTATAAGATAGGTTTTGAGAACAGATTTGAAGAATCCTAAAAGATTGTGTCTAATGTCAGAAGGGAGAGACTTTCACAGTTTGGGGCAAAAGAGGAAAAGGCTAGATCTCCCATTGAACGCAAACGATTAGGTGGTACCACTAAAAGACAATACTCAGAGGATTATAGATTGTGACTAGGTGTGTAAACAGTAAAAAAAAAAAAAAAAAAAGTTGAGATAAATAATAATGAGTATTATAATCTGAGAAGTCTGAAAGTTAAATTTGTATCAAATATCACTCTCAGAATTTGTTATGCGACACAGATAATAATTTTAAATAATCATGATTATTTAAAATTATTGACCTAAATAGGCATGATTATAATCACCATAGCGCTAGACAAGAGTGGAAAAAGGATCTGTACAAATATTTTACAGCTAAAACTATCAGCAGTAATTGTTTTAGATATGCTTAATGTTGTTCCGCTCAATTCCTGTGTAACAAAGAGTGCAGCAGTTACATAATGTCAAATATATAATATTTCATAACATTACTAAATTCACTGTAGTTTTAAATCAAATAAGTACAGCCCTGGTGACTGACTTTTCATAACTTAAACCACAAGCTTTTGAATGTAGTCGTAACCCTAAATACACAAGGCAAATAAGCAGCACAATAAACCAAACACTCATTGTAATCAACAAGGAATCAACAGTGTAAATAAGATTCATTGTGCGCTGTAGACAGCTTAGCTCATTATAATCATTCAGACATTCACATGAGCACAGAACTCAAGTCACTGAACTGCAGGGACCAAGCATTGTGAACACACAATGAGTGACAGCTTGGTTGATTATAATGAGACCACTCTAATATTGTCACATTGCTCACTTTGAGGATAATTTTATTCTAATTCTGAATAATCATTTTGTTTTTCATCTTGCTAAGAGGCCCAGTGTTAACTTGACCTCAGTTGGCATAAACCAATCAAAATTTCATTCAGAAATGATTGACGGATTGTGTTAAATGTTTAATATGGTGTGTAGATGTTGTACACAAAATATACAGTTGAAGTCAGAATTATTAGCCCCCCTGAATTATTATCCCCAATTTCTGTTTAACGGAGAGAAGTTTTTTCCATCTCATTTCTAAACATTATAGTTTTAATAACTCATATCTAATAACAGATTTATTTTATCTTTGATATAATATCTTAAATATTTTTCAAGCCACTTCTATACACTTTAAAGTGACATTGGCTGCGTCCGAAACCGCATACTTCCATACTATATAGTACACCAAAATCAGTATCATCTCCAAATACATAGAATTCGAAAATCAGTATGCGAGAAGTACCCAGATGACTTACTACTTCCGGCGAAATTCTGGAGTGCGCATCTCATGCACGCTGCGCTATCCCATGATGCCCCGCGAGCGAATTCATGATTAGGAGTGAAGCAACGCAAATTATGCAGGTAGGTCACGTGACCATGACAAAATGGCAGATGTAGTACGTCCGAATTCCATTCATACTTTCACATTCATACTGTATAGAACGTACTTTTCTAACGACCGAGTAGTACGTTTAAATTCAAATACAGTACCTACTGAGTAGTAGGCGGTTTCGGACGCAGCCATTTAAAGGCTTAACTAGGGTAATTAGGTTAACTAGTCAGGTTAGGGTAATTAGGCAAGTAATTGTATAACGATGGTTTGTTCTGTAGACTATAGAAAAAAGCCGAAATAAAACAAATAATATTTTCTCCAGAAGAAAAAATATTATCAGACATACTGGGAAAATGTCCTTGCTCTGTTAAACATCATTTGGGAAATATTTTAAAAAGGAAGAAAAAATTACTCTGACTTCAACTGTATTTACTTTTTTTTTTTTTTGCTGAAATTATTTATTTCAAGTAATTATGACCAACTGACAAGCCAAGATTATCTACACTCACCATATCCACTAATGCCACATAGAGAAACATGCCAGCAGTAACAGCAAAGATCCAGCTGGTGACGTTGTGTGTGTACTGTCCCACAGCTGTGCCGATCACCATGCCAGCATAAGCCATCAGGGCAGAGAGGAGATTGTACACAATGGCTTGTTTCACAGACATCCCAGCCTTCAGTAAAACAGCAAAGTCACCTGGTGGCAAACACAGAAGTGCACTATTAATGTACAATAAACAATACAGCAGTATGGGTGTAGTTAACCCATGTACATTCTGAGAACATTGAGTCCTTCTCAATGCTTTAGTAAAAACAAACGTGTTTGCTATTCAGCATTTATTGCATGCTGTTGTTCTTTTACTCCCATTTATTGAACATACATGCAAGAATCCATCCAAATATCCGTTCTCTATATACTGCACTCTGGACCTTTGCTCTGTGTCAACTGACCGAATTAAATCAGTCATCAAACACAATTAACAGGACTGCAGGGTGGGAAGAAACTCTTTATGATTGCTTTTTTTTTCTCCAGCCACAACATGGGGAGTCTTATTTCTATATAGAGTCTAAATTTTCAGACAAGACAAGTAAAAAGGCTGGCCATCAAACGTTGGTAATGTTTGAGGCATCAAGTATTGTCACCTCCTTTGAATGGCAGCCAGTGAAAGTAAACAACATCAAATGCAAAAGATCATTGTTGCATCAAAGGCATGTTCTGTTTATTTGACTTTTTTCCGTGGTGTTGTAATGTCTGGTTCGGTTTAAACAAAAGGGGGGCTTTGAAAATAGCAGCAGCCCTCTAGACAGCCAACTCAAAACATGGTAAAAGCATTGCTGTCTTTTAAAAGCTCTATGTGCTGATGTTGTTTTATTATTTGTTTTTCTCTATTCAAACATGAAAAGAAGTAAAGAAAAACAGCTTGTTTTGATGTTCCTAAGTCGATATCAATCGATAATGGATAAATGACACTTCACTGGAGATCTGTATGTAGGCTGGCATGAGTACCAACACATCACCCTAAAGATTGACCTCTCTTACTTATGGAAGTTGTTTCCACCACTAAATAGAAAAGTAAATAGCTGCGTCCTAAATCGCATACTTATGCACTATTCTACGCCATTTTGTAGTATAAATATTGTAAGAAGTGTGTTCACACTAAAAACTCTAATAATAATAAGTGCACTTTAATTACCCGGATGATGCACTCATTCAGCCGGTAAAATGAAGTGTGGAATGATGGACACTTCACACACTCAACGACCGCAGGTTTGCTTACGTAGCGGAAGGGGTGGAGCTATTGGACGCACATGTTGAATAACTTTATTTATTTTGGATGGTGAAAGCAACATTCTCCTACGAGAGTGATTATAGCGCCTCCCGATGGTGAATGCGGTTATACTCACGGCAGGTATTATTTGATAATTCGGTAGTTTATTTCACTGATTTGGCAACCGTCAAACATCATCAGGGAAACGGTTTGAATTTCCGCTTAGTAAAAAAACAGTGTGCCATTTGGGACGACACTACATACATATACTATCCTGTTGAGTGTGTAAGTGCAGAAGTACATAGTGCATGAGTGCATAGTGTATAGTGTGCCATTTGGGACGCAGCTAATGTGATTTTTAATCTCACAATTCTGACTTGTCTATATATCACAGTTCTGATTTTTATTTTTTTTACAAACTCGCAGATGCTAGTTATTAAGAATCATCAGATAGAGGCTTTATTCAGTGGTGGAAACAAGCTTGTATACTCACTGACATTTTGGGTTTTTTCCAGTGTGAAAACGACCTGTTGGGACCAAGAATAATAACTTACAATAGCTGTTTCCATCCACCTATTTTTATGTGCAGTTTTGGCATTTGCATTAAAAAATGGTTGATGGATTACCAAGATGCACATAGATTTTAAAAATGTGCATAAAAAAACGTATGCGCATAAAATTGTAGAATAAACTTTGTATTCGATAAGAAAAGATGCACAAACTACGATGGAAACACTTTTATCAAACAAATTCTAATATGCGCATTAAAAAAGGTCATGTGATTTTGTAATAAGAGATTATGTGATGATAAAAATGTGTGAATGGACAAACCAGCAGGCTGAGCACAATGTAAAGCATCTGAAATGTTGTTTTGGTCATTCTAAAATGCCTTTACCATTTCAGTATTAGAGTTATTATGTTATTAATTACCTCCAGAACTGTCAAGAGTGTCTGTGCTCCGCGTTTCATGGCTTAAAACGCCACCACATGTTCATTGCGTGTCGACACTGTCTTCTGAGATGCAAGTGATATATTAAATAAAAGAAAAGCTTTTCCTGCTGCCAAAATTCTGTTTTTACTGTTAATATTGGTCGCCAGTTAATCAGGAAGTGACGATTTTGTTCTTTTCACTCGTTGGATGGAAACGCTGCTTTATTTGCACGTCTTTTATGCGAAATTCCAGTTTTGCGCATAAATTTAATTCACATTTTTTAATGGAAACATAGCTAATGATGTTTTAATAATCTGTCGTTTGCAGTGTTTACTATAAAATGATATTGATGATATTGATGAGAAATAATCCTGTTAGAATCGTTTATAAAAACAATAATTTCCAGTTGGTGACCATAAACTCTGAACAATAAACACTGACAGCCAATCGTAACTCAACTAGCCTTAAAAAAGTCCAAATAAATAAAATAAGCAGAGCATTTAAAACAGCAGATGACACAACAGTAGTCCACACTTATAATAATGTTGAGCACAAATTTAGTTTTATTTCTAGCGTTCATTAATTGTGTGAATGAGCCTTTATTATTTATTAACTTTTACTGCACACCTTTGTCATTCTTATGTTTTGTCTCCGGTCGAGTCACTTACCTAGTTCATGAGGCAGTTCATGACAGAACACCGCTACTGAAGTACTAATTCCACCCGTAATATTAGCACTGAAAGCAGCACCTGTAGTTGAAAAACACATTGCCTCAGATGCAGGAACTCTCTTTATTTAAAGACCAGTTTAATTCTAGCTCCACTGTGCATATACTGTACTAACCTATAGCGAGTCCATCACTGAAGTTATGCATGCCATCTCCCATGATGACCATCCATGCTATACTGGCGATTCCTGCATCTTTCATTTCTTGGTCTGAGTGGCAATGCCCGTGGTGGGAATGACCATGCCCATGCCCATGTCCATGTCCGTGCCCATGCCCATGCTTTTTTGACTTGGCTTTTGGCACATTGTCCTCTTCTGTTTTTACTGGCGCTTCGTAAGGGTGATCTGAATCAGAGATATTCAGTGGCATCTTGCTGGGTGAATCCAGAGGCTGCAATTCTGTCATCTGAGTGTCATTGTGTCCTGCTTCACATGTCGTACCATCTCCTGCTTGAACAAGGAGAACAAGCAAAAGTTATTTCAGTGATGTTGTACCCAAGTCCAAACTTGCTCTCACTTTTGAAAATGACCTCAAGCCCAATGTATAACTCAGCTTGGGTTTGTGCTTAAAACATCTTTACAAGTGTTCACTTGATTGGAAGAGCCACAGAAAGGATTTCCAGTAAATCAGCATACAACTTTACCTAAAAGTCAAATGAACCGTATTTGAATTTGATAAAGAACCCACCCTCTGTTAAAGGCTTCAGGTGGAGCCACTCAGCATCTGAACGCCTGTTGAGTTTGTGGTCTGACAGTTTCCTTCCGATCTTTGCCTGCTCTCCTTTCTTCTTCTTATGGCAGAGGCCTCCCTGAGGAAACCACAAACACGAACGCTTTGTATAATTACTAGGCTCTTAGAATAAATGTTGTTTTGCTGTGGACTAAAAACCCTACCATCTGCAGTAATTATGAATTATTTTAGTCTGCCTGAGGTCTGTCAATCTAAAACAACCATTTTTTTTTTTTTTTTTAACGCATCTTTTCTTTGTTTGAAGTATTGTGGTGTCTCTCACCCTTTGGTCGCTGTAGTGTTTGAACATGCCAATGCAATGTTCAATAATGAAGAGGAGGTAGATTCCTGCTAGTGCAGTCAGTCCTTTCCAAACCCCATCAAACTTTATAAGAAAATCCACCTCCGGCTCTTCCTCCATTTGTTCCCCGTGGTTATGATCATGGTCCCCTTGAGACTACAAAGTGTAGAAAGGAAGTTGAAAGGTTGACTGTTTGGACATATGCAATTGCTAAATTTCAACTTCCATTTAATGGACTCACGTGAGGAAGGAGATGCAGTAAGGCATCACCACTGAGAGTTCCCACAGCCAGAGCCACCAGGAATGTCAAGAGGAACTTAAAGCAGGACTGATTGAGAATGGGCACCAGAACAACACCCAGCAGAGACAGCAGACTGATGATGGTGATGGACACAAAGCCCCACATCCAAACCCATCCTGCAAAAACACAACCAACAGAAGTGGGTAAGAGTGGGACACAGAGTTACATCTACACACCTCCAGAAATATTGATATGGATGTTTTGATGTGGATTCTCAAATGACCATAAAACCTTTAACCAAGTCTTTTCCCAAACTTTATAACCCAGTAAGTAAACCGATAGATAACAGACAAATCTATTTTGTCGGTACAAAATCATACTAGTTCAGGGAACTGCATGAATCTAACCTGAAGATGGTGCAACTTGTTCCTCTGCTTCAACGTGGTGGTAATGAAGGATGCAGAAGCGTCTGTCTATCTGATAGAGCAGAGCTGGACACAAATAGGTGAACTGCACTGGAGAGATGAGAGAATCTGAGCTCAGGCCGTACTGGTGAAGCAGCTGTGTTAAATTTAGACACTGAAAGAGAGAGAAAAGCGGAGAGATTTTCACTTTGCATTTGTCCTTGACTCATTTTGCTGTGTATTCAAGGAATATAAATCACATATCAAATATCACTAATATTAGCAGGAAAGTACAAAATTACTTTTTTAAAATTCACTTCATAATGGATGTCTGAATGATTAATCTAGATTCTATGTTAAGGAAGCACTGTGTAATTAGGATGGTTCAGGGTCAGCTCCTAATTATGCTAAATAATAAAATGGCATTAAATTACCAGTGTCAGATGAAGTGCACAAATCTAAATTATTAAGTAAAGGTATCAATACCTTAGTAGAATATTAAATGTATTGTTTTTCCTTTAAAAGAGCAAAAGCACTTGGATTTTGATGTTTTTAATTATTAAAAGTATTGATTAAATAACTAAATTCATTTAAAAAAAAACTTTATATAATTTGTCTACGATAAACTAAGATGGATGAGCACATTAAATTTGTAGAACTTGTACATACACCATCAAAACATTCTCTTGAATAGCTAAAATATCAATTTAAGTTACAGTACTTATAATTAAACTGTGAAAGCAAGTGAAAATAAAATACACCACATATTATTTAACAATGGAAAAAAAGAGAAATAACACATATAACAATTTATTAGCAAGGAATGTCAATTAATTTACATCAACTTTAGATAAGTAAAAATAAGTTTATTTAACAAAACCTTCATAGTCTTCATTAAAAAACTTGTGTAAGCGTTATAACTAACACAAACATTGCCTGAAGCAGGTGGTCTAAATATGCAACTATTTTCTGCAACAACAATGTTATGAAGTAAAAGCTTTGAGGCAACAAATAAAATAAAATATATTTTGGCAAAAATGTTTAAAGAAAAGAAAAAGAAAACATTACACTCTGCATACTGGCCAGTCCCTACACCTACTAAAATAAATCATTTCATCTGAAGATGCCTGTTTAACAGTTACATCACAGCACTGAGACTCACCTCTTCATGTTGGTGAAGAACACCATGTGCAGGTGATCCTGGCACTTCTCTCCTGCCTCTCTGCTGCTGAGCAGGGCTGTGATCCTGGAGACTGTGCTCATGGTCATCCCCGCTGGTCTCCAGCTCAACAGCTTGTGTAACAGTGACGCTGGTCCTATTGCGGCCTCGATGGGCTTTGACCTTAGATGGCCTCCTGTGTCTTCTTGTTTGGTTGGCAGGCAGCTCAGGCGGTACAGAAGGCTGAATTTTCGGCATTGCTGAGGTGGTGTGCACCACGCTCTCTGGAGCATGGAGATGAGGGTGGGGGTGCTTGTGGTGATGGTGGTCATGATGATGGTGGTTTTGGTCACTTAGATCATTATGTTCTTGTGCATGTTCTCTACTCTTTTGATCATGATCGAGTTCCAGTCGCTGTGTCACATCACTGTCTTGCTTGTGACTGTGTGTGTGCAAATGTATGTGGTCATGCTCGTGATCTTGAGTCTGTGGACTGTCTGTGACATGTCTATGGTTGTGTTCATGATCACTGTCTTTGTCGTGATCATGGTCATGTTCATGATCATGATCGTGTTCCTCAGATACACTGGGTGGGGTGGCTCCGGTGCCAAGTGTCTTGCTGCATGGCACATCCTCAGCAAGAGTGTGTTCCTCATTCTCATGGTGAGAGTGTTGGTGGGTCTTGTGTGAGATGTTGGGATTCTGATGAGAGTGCGGATGGCCAGCTGAGTGCGAGTGCCGACCGTCCTGAACCTCCAGAATATCTAAGTGTGCCACATGATCGTGGCCCAGATCCTCATGCTCCAACCCAACCACCCGCACTTCACCCAGCCCTAAACTCAGCAGCAAACTCTGGAAGCCTTTGAAATCCAGCCGATCCTTCTGGCCGTATCGACAGAACAGCTGGTGGATGTAGTAACGCTGCTCGTTCTCCGCAGGTTCACCCTGACTGCCGTGCACCAGCCGATCTGATAAACCATTGCAGGACATTTCTGAAATCTGCAGGTCACTGTGGATGTGGTCGTGGTCTCCGTGGTTGTGCCCGTGGTGATGGTGGGACCCTCCTTCATGGCAGTGGCTGCACTGATGGTACAGTAGGGTCAGCACACAGAGAAAGCACAATCTGGTATGTGTGTGAACTCTCATCATCTCCTCTCTTAGACACCTCTGCCAAAAACAAAATCAGAAATCCAACAACTGAGTACACCAGACATTTCAGAATCAATTTATTTAAAAAATCTAAACAGGATTGCATCTCAGGGGCTTATTAAGGTATTATGGAAAAAGGAGCGAAAATATCGAGATCTTTAATTTTCCAGAGTGTTTCTCAGCTGGAACAAGCACTGAAGGGCCCTAATGCTCCCCGTACAGCAGCTACTGCAAGCCTGGAGGGAAAAGTGAGATCAATCTGCTACTAAACAAAACACAGTGGAGATCTCAGCATGAGAGAGTCTTTTCTTTAAACTGAATAAAAGACCCTAAAATAAGAAACAGGTTTGTGATGGGATCTGGGTGCGGGTTTTGTTCCAAATGCAATGCCAATTTTTTTTCTGTCTGGCAAATCTGCCAGAACACAAAATACCTGAGCAGACAGCGCGTCTATAAGAATACTTCAGTATTAAGAATTTCATACTCTGATAATGTAAACACATTAACCCGGTTGCAGGTTAGAACAATAATCATTTTTCTAGAAATAAAAACATAGTATTTTCTTTGAAAATATATATGCTAATACAAAAAATACTTCAGGATATGCAGCTAGTTTCTTAATTTCTTTTGTAACATTTACAAATATTGTTTACATATAAATCTGCTTACACAACACTAAAAAAGAGATTGATGTGCAGTAGAGTGCAAAACCAAAGGAATATATTGCCATCAGATAATCATTTATCAGCCATAACTTCCCTATTGGAAGACATCATAAGTCGGCCACACCGCTAAAAGTCAATGCAAGGTTGAAAGTACAAAGATCGCTGTACTGGTGGGCTGCAGAAGATTCAAACTGACATAGAATTTATTTGCAATTTTCGATTGAGAAATTTCGCAGAAATACAACTGCAAGTATAAATATATGCCCACATAACTAACAAATATGTGTATATAATACACACAATACGTGTATTAAACTTCTTAAAATCAAAATATCCAGTTAGCAGTACTTACGACAGCCTGCGCTCCAGCCTGTAAAAATGTTTGAAATTGAATCGGACCGTGAAGGTGATCAAAACATGGTAGAATTATGATCCTTCCTCTCAACAGCACGCTGTTTATAAACATGAGAGTGGAGTGACCTCTGAACCCTTCAGGAGATAGGATGGGGCAGGAGCGCAGACTGTATGAAGATAATCCTGCCTTACTGAGCGTGCTCAATACACTCTTTGTTGGTTATATGACATCCCAAAAATGAATGATCATTTTGTAAAAAAAACAAAAAACAAAAACCAGCGCAGTCATGTGCTGCAGAAATATCATGAGACAAATACTAGAGGACTGTAATTTCGTCTGAGGGAAAATGCTTGTGATCAAGAGCAGTTAAAAGACAAGAGATATTCAGAAGGGCTCTTCAATTGAGCATTCAATTTACACCTTACAAACTGTAAGGTGTAAATTGACTGTTTGATTTAGATTTATTTATATTTTATATATACACATAATACAGGAAGTGTTTTCTACTGTCTTTGTTAAAGAATTGAAGTCGTGAAAAAAATAATATGCCTTTAAAGTGCCTCTATTATGCTTTTGTAATGCGGAATTGGTTTGTTTGTGCATATCAAAGGTCTACAGTTTCAAAGTTCCTAAAGTGCACAACAGATCAAGAACGAAACAAACAACCACAATACTTGATTTCTAATTCTGAAGCATCAGCAATTCCAGCTTCACTTTTGTGACTGATCTATTTAGCGATTACTTTTTACCATGCTTCAATTTTGATCTCAGGCTTGGTATGATAAACTGATGTGGTAAAATGATTGCCATGATTACTGTAATACAGTGTGTGAGGCAGACTGGCTATTTGACAGATAAGATACGAAAAGGTTGGCGGCAAGGAGGGGTGTAGAAATAGTGAATTTTTTTAAACACATTGTTAAAACAAGTATTCGATACGATGTTAATTTAGAGATTTTTCTTTTTAGAACAATAAATGCATGTGTACATTTACTAGGAGACTTCTAAAAATAGGATGAAAAAGCTTAATGGGACCGTTTAAATGTACTACTAAACTTGCATGTTTAGTAAATGACATATACAAGGAAAATTTAAAACCATTCACAGTGCTGTATGAGCAATCCTGCCTGTAAATTTAAAACAAATCAGAACAGATGATACTCTAGACATCTTGTCTGTAGAGTCAGTAGTTGGACAAAGCAGCAACCTCCCGCTCTCCCTAGTGAAGCTAATACGAAAGTAACTGAAACAGCAATTCAATGAAATTCCACTAGTCCTAGCTTCAAAATAGAGCAAATTTCTATTGAGCTCACTGTTAAAATGGCTAACTTTACAACAGGAAAAAGGTGTTTACAGCCTGGTACATACAGTAGAACGGTTTTGGTGTATATAGCTAATATTATCCTTCAAGACAACTGGGAGGTGGTAATTTTTTTTAATTCCTCATCTGTTTTGTTTATATTAAGTTAAGTCTACAAAATAAAGGGTGTGGCCACGTGAGTGACAGCTAGGTCTTGCTGGTTGCAGTCACTTCACCTCAGCTGATTAGCCACTGAACTTGGCATTTACATCGTATTTTTTTTGTTGTGTCATGTGACTTTAAACAAGCAGTTGCTTTTTGGTATTATTTCCTACAATTATCAGATAATATGGCATGCTGTTTGCACTAAATTGTGCTCACGAACCATTCACGTGACCTCCATTTCCCAGGTGAGTGAAATTTTGTACTTATACACCATCTCTATAAATGTATTTGTGATCCTATACAGATCTTTTATCATTTATAATTTTCTTTAGACCTGTAATGCACTCCAGAATCTGACAGATTGATAAGCTGTAAGCTATAGAACAGTTATTTGAAACATTGTCATACAGTGTTATTCCTGGCTTTCATAAATAGCCTTGCATTTACTAAAAGGCTATATTTGAGGTGTTTGGATTTTCCCATTTTTCTCCATTAGAATAGTGTTATAAGAACAATGCTTAGTGGCTTAATGTATTAAAACTAGGCAAAAACTTATATCACGATATATTTCTCAATTTTGGTCAATACGATATAATTCTGACATCGATATGTACAATATTAAAAACACAGGATAAAACTGCTAAGAACGCACACAATAGATGTCTGTACCTACAAATCTCTGCAAACTGGATATGCAAAGTCAATAATAATTCCAGGCTCTTATAACTTTTTTTTTTTTTATAAAAACAATACAAAAAGTGTATGTTCACTTTTTAATTTGTATTTAGCCTTTACAAACAAGAAATGTGAAATAATCTGTCAAAAAACTAAAACTCTTAGACTCGGCTTATTTATTAATATAAATAATATATAGATATAGTTTGTGGAGGCTAGCTTGACTGACATGAACAGAAACGTTTATCAGATTTTTTTTTTTATTTTTTTTTGTATATGCTGAATGTTTAACAATTAAAGTAATACAACAAATCTTACAATTATGACATCCACCCACATCATAAAAAAACATTGAAAAAGAATAATTATAATAATAAAAAAATCAAAAAGAGTATAGGCTACATTAATATTAGAAATAATAATAGAAAAAGAGTTGTTTGAGTATATTCATAGTTCTGGTTGCTTTTCATCTTGAACGTCCTTTAAGGGTTCTATCTAACTATTTATATTTGTGTATGTAATTACCCAATTAAATTAAAATGTTTAACATAAAATCGTTTTTATATATTTTATATAGTCTATTTATATTGACTAATATTTTATATTGTTTTATATAACACATTTTCATTATTTAACAGATTGAATACCTCTGTTAATCACATTCTTTCTATTTCATCAGCTTTGCAATAACCAGATTCCTGATAAATATGTCTGTAAATTTCATTTTTTAAGTTTGCTCGAGTACTATATGCCAGCCATGCAGAGTTTATGTGTATGTGAGTGTTAATTTGGGTGTTTGTTCGAGGATCACTTTATGTATGTGTATTTGGATGTATGCAATATGCATGCATCAAGTTTATATGCATATGCGCAAGTTTCATATATGTTTTGAATAGTTCTATAGAATAGGTTTATATGCGAGTAATTCATAGGTGTATATGCACGTGTTGATAAGCAAACTTTAATTTAAATCCTACATGGCGCCTCTAGACATCTGTTTGCGTCATAGCCTTCTCTTCTGACATCGCTGATTTCTGTGTTGGAAAGGTGGATGGTGGTGAGGAGACAGGTTTGCTTAAACGTTTGTGATGCCTCATCTTCTGTCATTGCTTCTGACTCTCAGTATGTTCTATCAGGTGGAACAGAGTGGATGTGTCCCCGATATAGGCATCTCTCTCCCACACATTTAGCAGAGCACCAAAACTATAAGTTTATCGGAACTTAAAAAGCTGAACCATTTCCACACCACTGCATTAGTCTTTCCTCTCTCTTCAAATAACTAATCTGCATTCTTACTTGTGGAAGCTTGTTCATTCACATCTGTATTCAGGGCACACTTCAGGGCAAACTTTCTGCGATGGAGATAACCAACTGCTGTGCTGCTGAGTGCTGGCAGCAAGTCTGGGATGTCACTTTCGTGATGACGTACATCACGCTCTTTCTGATAGCTAAGCATGACTGTCACTCAGTGACAAATGATACAATGTATAAGATCTTATAAATATAATAAAATTTATACATGAAAATTTATATTGAAATACCGGAAATGAGTTTAAAACTCATATCACCGCTATTGAAAAAATTCTATCGTGATATATATTGATATAGATGCCTCTTTGCCCTTGTTTGGTATCGTTTGGTCCGATGACGTGCAAACAAAATGGAAACGGTTGGCCACACCTACTTGAAGCTTCTTTTGCATTCTTCAGAAAACTATAGGTGACGTCATGGATACTACGTCCATATATTTAAAGTCTATGGTTTGGACAGAGCCATGCTTTCTGCATGCTGTTCGGTTAAATGGTAACAGGGAAGAAGAATAAACAGAACACTTATGGTTTTATGGGCTCCTGTTTCA